ATGGGAAAAACAGTATTCATATATTGCAGACTTAGGATTATCATGCCAGTTAGTCAAACAACATCATCAGACAAAAATGATATATGTGGAGTATTGCACCAGAAGTTTTAAAAGAGAAACCATATACAAAAGCATCAGATGTATACAGTTTTGGAGTTCTGATGTCTGTAGTATCAACTGGTCAACAACCTTTTAATAATTTGGCACATGATGCAGGACTTGCAATGAATATATGTGAAGGTGTAAGACCTGGATTCTCAAACAATACACCAAGATTCTATATTGAACTAGCATTCAAATGCATGGATGTTAACCCAGATAAACGCCCAACTGCTAAAAAAATTTATGAGATTATTGGAGTTTGGGTTAATGCATTTCAACATTATAGGTCAGGGGATAAATATGAATCAATTAAAAAAGAATTTGATAAAATGGATGAAATAAAATTTGATCCTTCAACAATTACTACAACAATTCATCCAAATGCAGTTTATACTAGTAGATTATTAAATTTTACAAATCTCCCCCAACCTGTGAATTCCAATAAAGTAACAATTATTAGTAATAATAATGGTAATTATCATTAATTATTCAATTATTAATTTTAAAATTTAGTATCAATATTAACATTATGATGTTATAAATTATAGTTTCTCATCTAATGGATATAAATATTTAGATTAATTTGATTATTTATATTTAATAACAATATTGTCACCGATTAAATTTGGGGATAACAATTATTTTTGTTTTGTGTGGATCAGAATGAATAGGGGATCAACAAATTGATTTTATTATTAGCGAATAATTTTGGTTAAAGAAGATAAAAGTTTAAATAAAATATTTATTTTATTTATTTAGTTTTCTTAGTCGAAACTAATTAACTTGTTATCAAGTTACTTTTACAGTAGGTCAAATTCGAGTTCTTTATATACATGTCAATTAATTATAAGCCCATTTGGGTTTACGCGCACTAATTTCTACTAAATATAGTTAAATAATAAATATTAACGTGTTACGGATTAATAAAATAAGAATACAAATAATAATAAAATGATAACGAAACGTAACACAGGTATAAACGATAATAAATAAATGAAATTAATAAATAATAGAAATAAAAGATTTGGTTCGGAATTAGGGTATTTCGACTAACAAATTAGCGTTAAATCCTAATTCTGGTAACAATATTATATAAAGATAATAACTTCTCACAATTATCATATCTTTGGATTTTCTTTTCATTTTAAAATTTGGAAGTCAAATATGCATGACTTTGATAAACAAATAAATGTAATTTTTAATATTCATAAACATACATAATAGCAGTATTATTTATTTCCTCACCTTTTCAATCAATGTTTTCATTTTTTTATAGCACTAGTAAGTTGAAGTGATGTAACTTATCAATATATAAATATATTAATAAAAAAATATTTAAAAATTAAAAATTTTATAATTTAAAAAAATTGAAAACTGTTGATGATGATACATTGATGGAATCTTGTGTTGAATTATCTGCTCAAGAGATATCTTTGACAGCATATGCGAATGAACCTTTTGTTATGACTGCACTTTACAATTTTTTTTGATGATAGAAAACAGTTGTCTTAAGCAGTTTTGACAACTATGACCACTTTTAGAAATCACAGCATTTGTGGATTTTTGTGGGAAAATTATCTAACCAGTTTGAATGCATGTTTGCACACCAGACAGAAGTGTGTCAATTGATGATGTTTTTTGGAATTGAAAAGAAAGAGTTTTCTGCATTGTTGAAACAACTGCTCTTGGAATTTCCAAATGTAAAGTGCTACAGATAATTATACATTGAAGAATTACCTGGCTGCAGAACCTCAATTACGACACAATTTTTTTTTTCCTGGACCTTCAGCTGGTCCAGATTTGATTTTTTTTATTCATTTTCATGATGGAACAAGCATTCCAGTTATATGTCAGGTAGTGTTGGTTTCCAAAACTATTTTGACATATAAAAACTAGTCTAAGATTAAAGCATAGTTTCAAAACCTATGTCAAAACCCAAAACCTATGTCAAAACTCAAAACCTATGTCAAAACTCAAAACCTATGTCAAAACTCAAAACCTATGTCAAAACTCAAAATTCACTTAACATCATTTAATATCTAAATTAGTGTTGGAAACCAATGCTAATCTAATGAATAGAAAGCAGAAAATTAATTGTTTTTGTTTATTACAGTTGGTGATCAATATAAGAAACAGTTGGCTTTGACAAAAAACTTCACTATTACATCTTATAAGGTAATGAGAATCATTGTATTTCTCAATAATATGTGGGCATACCTAAACAAGGTCATGATTTTCTGAAAGTACTAGACCTCTAGTGACTTCAATTAAGTTGTTACTGGCACACAGTCCAATTCAATTAGAGATTTCCACACTATATTAATACTGTTACCAGTGCATATTTCAATATAATCATCAGGAAATTAAAATGTGTTATTCATATATAGCATGTGATAAAAATAACATCAGGAATATTTATTAATATAGATTATTTCTATTTTTATTTTTATTATATTTTATTTAATCTATTATTTATTTTTATTTTTATTTTATTTTATTTTATTTTTATTTATCAATAACATGTTGTGAGATGAAATATCCGAGTCTCACACAAATCTCTTAAATTTATTTATTTTGATATGCCAACAATGTTAATACAATTTCTTTCTAATTATTTATACTAAATCCTAACAAACAATTTTCGCGAATGTATATTTATGCTTTACTCTCAAAACTATCTTTTACTATCATTAAACAATTTCTTGTACTAAGAAATACTAAACAATATCTTCTTTAGATTTTACACTATGTATCCTGATCACGTTTCTTGGTGGGTGTCCTCTTAACTGTTTTCCTCTTTACTACCAAGTCAGGAACGTTTCCAAAACTACTAAATAAGTTTATTAATTATTACTACTAAAAGAAAAGAAAAGAAATAAAAAATAATAAAAATAATAGAGATAAATATAAAATAAGAGAAAATAAGTATGCACGGGATTAGTATGAATTTGCTGTTATAAGTAGATTTATTATCATTACAAAAATATAATATTCGAAGACAACAAGGACAAGGTCAAGGACAAGGACAAGGTTAAGGACAGTGTTATTTATTATTATGAAGTAAAGAACTTTTTTATGAAGTTAAAAACTTAAAACTTAATTACATGAAAGAGAATTTTACAATGTTATTTATACATTTTAAAAGTTCCTAAATAATACTAATTAATGTATCATTTGATCTTTCTGTTAAGAATCTATTTCAAATTATTTCTTAGTCAACGTGAGTCATTAAAATTCTTGGATTTAAATATGATTCTCAGATTTAATAATCTGTTACACTTTGGATTGTTAGAATATTATATTTACACTATTTGTGGTATTTTCCGCGAGTCTATTATTTAATTGATGATTGAATAAAAATATGAAATTGGACTGGTTTAAATACTTGATAAGTTTTTCCGACTTTATTTGCGTGTAACTTCGTAAATCATTTCCGATTTATATATTAGTTTCCCGTGATTTATAATTTACTATTTTACAGTGTATAATTATTTATTATCATCTGAATTTGTGTTACGTTTTGTGTATTTATTATTAATCAATTCGTATTTATTTAACTTTATTTAGTAGAGATTAATGACAATTCTCCCGGAATGGGCGGAATCGCTCAAAACGGGTGGATTTGCCCAGGTACAAAGTGAGCGAATTTGTGCAATCTGAGCAAAAATGCATAATTTGAGCGGAATCGCCCAATTCAGGCTAATATGTAAATGAACATGTATATAAAGAACTTGATTTCGACCTAATGTAAAAGTAACTTTATAACAAGTTAATTAGTTTCATCTAAGGAAATGACTTTCTAACAAGTTAATTAGTTTCGACTAAATAAAACTAAATAATAAAATAGAAATATTTTATTTAAAACTTTTATCTTTTTAAACAAAATTATTCGCTAATACCAAAATCAATTCATTGTTATCACCAATTAAAATTAGATTTGGATGCTCTTTTTGGCCGAATTTAACTAATTCCGAAATTCTTAATTTTTATTATTATTATATTTTATTATTTCTATTTTTATAACCTTATTTATTAATCTAGTATTATTTTATCCGTGTTACATCTATTTTCGTAATACGTTTTATTAATTATTTGTTGTAATTTATTTAACTTATTTAAGAAAGAATTGTCTTGGGATATCCTCGCAATTTTGAGATATCTGCGCAACTTTGAGATATCGTCACAATTTTGGGATAACTTCTCAATATTGAGAAATATCTCAATTTTGGGAAATTAGAATTACTAATTAATTAATTGAATTGTATATAAGGAGCTTGGATTGTAAAGTAACTTTCTCACAAGTTAATTAGTTTCGACTAAGGAAAACTTTCTAACAAGTTAATTAGTTTCGACTAAATAAATAAAATAGTAATATTTTATTTAAAAATAAAAATAATTGTTATCACCAATTAAAACATGCTCTCCCAAAATTTAATCAGTGACACTATTACATAAATAAAGAAATAGTCTAAACATTATAGTTGAACAAATTATTTTATTTATTTTACTATTTAAGTTTAGAAATATTTGGATAGATGAGATTATCTGTATTTTCTTATCATTATAAATAAAAGATTATTTTTTTTAAAAGAATAAATGATAACATATCTTTACCACAGTTTAAAAGTATTTGTTCTATTTGTTTGTGAGAAAGTGTTAATCCATTCTGAAGTAATTCTTTACAAATTATTTACAAGCACCAACTGTATGAATGTTTGTATTACCTGACACTTTATTATCATATTACAAATAAAAGTCAAGTTTATTGCAAACGCATTTGGCATTGTAAAAGTAAATATATAAATATAAGTTTTACTAATAAAATTTAAAAAAATATAATTATATTAATTTAACTATTATCATTATCATCACCTATTATAATATTTAAATAAGAATTAATGGCAGATAATACATCTACATCAAGTTTATCATCTAGATCTAATGTATCACTTGGTGGAAGACCTCCTGCAGAGGTTTGGAAACATTTTATTAAAGGAGACGAAATTGGTCCTGGAAAATATACTGCAGCTTGTAGTTATTGCAATGAATTTTTTTCTCTTGGAATGCCTTATAAAATGAAGAGCCATTTATCTAACCATTGTCCAACATGTCCTCGAGAAGTCAGGCGTTTTTATCTTAATAAGATATCTACTCTAAATAAGCCAACAAATAAAAAAGAATTGAACAACCTTGATACTACACAAATGACTTTATCAAAATTTTATGAAAGTACTGAACTTACTAAAGAAAGATATTGTAATATAAATAAATCACTTTTACGTTCATTTATTATGGCGGGTATTCCTTTTCATGCAGTAGAAAATCCATATTTTATAGAATTATTAAAACAATTGAGACCAGCTTATTCACCACCTTCCAGAAAAGTTTTGTCAGAACGTCTTCTTGATGAAGAAGTTGCTTATGTTAATAATAAAATCAATATAGACTTAGATAGCAAAAAAAACTTGACATTAGGTAAGATAAATATTTTGATATTTTTTTTTTTAATAAAATAATAATCACATTTATTTATTATTTTTTATTAGCAATTGATGGTTGGACCAATCCAAATCACAACTCAATTTGGAATTTCTTAATTCTAACCCCAGAAAAGAAACAATATCTTTATAAATTAGAAGATTTGTCAATGGATAGTCACACTGGTGAATATTTATCAAATAAAATTGAAACAATTTTATCTGAAATTGGTTCAGAAAATGTTTCAGCACTAGTAACTGATAATGCATCAAATGTTAAATATGCAAGATCAATAATTGCTGAACGTTATCCACATATCCTTAATATAAGGTGTATTGCACACTTTGTTAATCTTATTTCAAAAGATATCATTTCATATGATTTTTCAGAAAGACTCCTTAGGAAATGTAATAAAGTTATTAAGTTTTTCAACAAATCCCACCAGGTAAAAGCATTACTTGATTTATACATACAACAAATAGATATTGAAGGTGGTGGCCTTAAAACTTATAGTGAAACTAGGTGGAGTTCAATGTATGATACAGTGTCATCAATAATTAGACTTCAGCCATGTTTCCAACTAGTAAGTAATTAATTTCAAATTTAAATATTCTTTTATATTAATTTATTTATTTGTTTGTTTATTATTTGTTTAGATTTTAAATCGACATATAGAAAAGATCACCAGTTCTAGTGTAAAATCAATCTTAAGAGAACACAATTTTTACCATAATCTTGAAACTTTGATCTTGATTTTGAAACCAATTAAAGAAGCAATTAATGTGTTGGAGGCCGATACAACCAATTTAGCAGACTGTTTTTTTAATTTGGTTAAATTGGCAGTTGCAATAAAAAAGATTCCTAAAAATCACAGCAAAAATTTTTTTAAGCACTGTGTTGGTTGTTTTAACAAAAGATGGGCTGAATTTGAATACAGTGGTTATTTACTAACGTTTTTTTTTACATCCATATTATAGAGGTATGTATATTTTTTTTTCTAAAAAAATTTTTACAATTTAATATACAAATCTCATTATTATTTGTTTCATGAATAATTTTAATTTAGATACATGTCTAAAAAAAGGAACATATAAAACTATTGCAAACACAGCTGCTATTTATTGGAAAAACATGAAAAAATCAGAAAATTCTTGTTTGTTACTTTTAGAACAATTGAAAAAGTATAAGCTAAAGCAATCTCCATATAATGAACCATATGTTCTAAAACATAGTAATCCATTAAGATGGTGGTATGTTTGTGAAGAAGATGATGGTGTGAGTGACTACTTGCAAGAACTAGCAAGTAAATTGTTTAGTATAACACCTCACTCAGTTAGTTGTGAACGAGTTTTCTCAGTAATTGGTTGGTTTTATGGTAACAGGAGAACTCGTCTTAGTATTAAAAAAATTGAAGATATGGCAAAGATTTACTTTTATCATAAATCTAATATAAAAAAAGAACTTCAATATTTTGAAGATGTAACTCACCAAGAATTAAAGATGATTTTAGAAAATTCTGAATGTGTTTCAGATGATGACACAGATGATACTCTGTCAGATGATGAAGTTGATGATGATTATGATGTAGAAGATGTAAGGGAATGGATTGTTGATCAAAGATCATCAATTGATGATTTTAAAATTGAAGAAATTATTAATTTGAATTCCCACATTTTTGATGATGATAACATGAATGTGAATTGTTTTAATAAATTGAAAATCAATAATTCAAATTTAAATGAGAACTATGATTATGATCCATTGAATTTAGTTGACAATCTTTTTTTTGAAGAATCTGAACAAGTTTTCAATTGCTCAAATGAAAATAATAATAGGAAAAGAGTAGGAGATATTAAAAATAGACAAAATAACAAAACTAAAAAAAGCAAAAGGAGTAAAATAATTAATATTTGTGAAAGTGATGATGAATATCAAGATGGCTTAATGGAATCAGAAAGAATTGACAATAGAATTTGTAAGAAGGGAACAAAAGAAAAAAATAGTAGTAAAGATATGGAAGATGATGAAAAGGATAATAGTGAAGAGGAAAATAGTGAAGAGGAAAATAATGAAGAGGAAAATAGTGAAAAGGATAATAGTGAAGAGGAAAATATGGAAGACGAAGATAAGGAAAGTGAAGATGATAATGAAAAAAGTGATGATGAAAGCGAAAAAAGTGATGATAAAATTAATAAATCAGCAGCAACTAAAAAATTCAAACTTCGCAATCGTCAAGATATATCATATAAAGTATAATAATGGAAATAATTGGTGTTAACCTGACAATTGTTTTTTTATCTCCTAAAATATCATTCCTGTATTGTTTCAAATTTGATATCAAAAAAGAAATAACAGCAGAGAAGTAGTGTCATAAATATTGTATATAGATATTACTTGTAAATTTGTATATTTTTGGTTTTTTTTTAATATTTTTCATATTATACAGTATTTTTAATTAATAAGACTTAATGAGAATTATAATAATAAAAATTTTGTAAATAAGTTTTGACATAGGTTTTGATTTTTGACATAGGTTTTGACTTTTGACATAGGTTTTGACTTTTGACATAGGTTTTGACTTTTGACATAGGTTTTGACTTTCATAACTTTGAAAAAATAGGATCATTGTGAAACTAGTTTCGAAACTTATCAAAACTAAACAATTTCAAAACTCCTTAGTTTTGGTGACCATCACTAGCCTAAGTAAATAATATGAATAAGGTAACATAACTTTCACCTTACATGGGAAGGACAAAAACATAAAAGGTTTATTTTACTAACTCTGCTAAATTTTCTCATTTTTACTTGTTGGGAGGACATGGCATGACTTCTTTAAATTGGTTCCTTAAAAGTTAATTTGTGCATACATGGTCACAGTATTTCATTACTGGGGTGATGCAATTTTATTTTATTGGTTGTAAATTCAAGAAACATATGTCAAATAGCAACAAAATGTCTTCAAAGAAAAGATTGTTGAAAACATCTGCAATGTTATACAATTTGGGGCACATTTCAATGGTTTTTTGTTTTTAAGATATATATACATATTACACCAGTCTTTATCTAAGAAAAGTATATAATGTTTACTTTTGCTGTTGTTATTATATATTGTGTGTTGGTTGGGATTCAACAGTGAATTGTATTTTTGTAACCCCCTAAATTTATATGCAAGTTTTTTTTTAATTTAAAATCACACAAAGAATCTATTATTTATATAAAATATAGATGGTATTACAGAATGATGACATGCTAATATATTCATTGATTAATACTGTACTGTAATGGTAATAGTTATTTAGCATTTTTATTCTTTTTTATCTACTCATTATATTTAATTTTTGATATGATTTATAGTACAAAAAAAAAACAAGGCGTGAAAACGGGTATGGTTTCTAAGCTAAAGTCAATCTTGTGGTGAATTACATCTAAAAATATTGTTAATATTAGCTCAAAATTACGATTTTGGTAGTTTTCCCCTTTTTCTATTGTCCGTGCCGGAAAAAACACATATACCGAAGAAAAGCATATTAATATATAAACCATCCCAAAAGTTTTAAGGGCGCTTGCTAATCTTTAGCAAAGAAAATTAAGAAACGTCATATTTCCTGTGTTACGAAATTTTGCAAAACTAAACAATAAATTCTTTTATTATTATTGAATCAATAGTCGATTTTATCAAAGTTTAGAAAATTAGATCATTCTTTTCTTGTGTTAATAATGATAAAATAAAATATAATGCAATGTAATTAAATGTTGTAAATCTTATCGAAGTTTTTCAACAATTTGCCAGAATTGAGTATAAGCCTCTGGATCCTTATGTCTCGAACTTCTATGAATCTAAATTTTTTAAAAAGTTTTTTTTTAATTATTCATAATGTAATTAATAAGCAGCTAAAACAATAGCATAAAGTTTATCTAATGATTATACTACCACTAACATTAATAGTTTTGACATTTTTCCATTTTTCAATATTATTTTTTGTTTCTTCTTCTACAAATTTAAAGTAAATTCCAGGAACTATTTTTTTTAATAAAATCCTTCATTAATAAATTGACCATAAATTAAACATTTTTTTAAAGAAAAGTATCTTAATAACTATTACCATGAATGAAGGTAGCTTGTGGTGTTTGCCATTTATATTTTTTAAACTGCCATTCATTTCCGTCAGTTATTACGCAAATTACACGACCCCTACATAATATTTTAATAATAATAATTATAACCATCCTTTTTGTCAAAGCCATATTTATATAAAGAAATTTATAATATATAGAAAGAGAAATAAGGGAATGTATATAACATAGAAAACAAACCAATCAGATTCTCCAAATTTAGCAGTATTGTCTGTAAGTTCATAATGCCTATTATTATATGTTATATGTAAAATTGATTCCTTACGTTTACCACTATTCTTAGCTTCATTTGAAGGAATAAATCTAAAAATTTTTTTTTTTGGATTTGCAAATAAGTATATAAATAAATATATAAATCATCTTTTTAAAATTTCTAAAAATTTACAACGCTCTACCTTACATCCTGAAGTAAATCTTTTACATTAAGCATATTTATAAAAGAACTGGGAGCAGATGGAACAAGTATCAATGGGACCAATAAGTTTTTATCAAAGGATTTTTGCATAGAACGATTTGCTGCTCTAGGAATAGAATGTGAATTTCTATTGTCATGTAAACTTATATCGTGACTTTTTCCTTTTAAAAAGACTTCATCAGCCATTCTCAAAAATTTATCAACCTAGTTATTATACTAGATATAAGTATCTTATATCTTTAAACGTTCATCACACATAAAAATAAAAACAAATAAAATAATATATATATACATACGTTACTTATTGCAGCAGATTCTTCATTAGCTACACCAGATTCTTCTTCCAAATCAATTATTTCGTCTTCCTCATAATATTCTGAATCGCTGTCAGAGGAAGAGTAAGAATACATCATATCATATGTAGCAGGTTTAAAAGTTTGGTCAAACCAATCCGAATCTTTCGATATGTTTTTTTGTTTTTTTCTTCTGTTAGATTTTTCTCCGTCATCAGTAATTCGACGTTTTTCTTTTAACATAAAATGATTAATTGATTAAACGATTATTATAAATATATATATTTATCAGAGTGAATTAATAATGAATATCTTTACCAGCATGTCTTGAATGAGATTCTCTACGCATATCTTTATCATTTAAAGAGGCAGAGTGACCATTTAAATAGTTTACCCATTTCTGACGGTCAATGTAAGTTAAACGACCTGAAAGTTGAATGCTGGATATGTCTTCATTGTACTTGTCAAATTGATATTTTTTAGTGATCAGGCCATGATAAAGGATATCAAGTTTATAATATTCTGCTGAGGCAAAATTCATAAAGGTTGTAGTCATATCTTTCGGAAAAACATTTTGATCAAATTGTATAAAAGCGGCATCTTTAATATTGGTAACTGGATTATGGTTTGAATCAAGAAGTTGAATAGATTTTTTGTGTAAATTATATTCACGAAAGAGTTCAAGTGGATTTTGTGTATCTGATTCCATCTTAATTGTTGTTTTTAACAATTATTATTAAGGTCTATGAAATTATGATTATTTAATTTTATTATTTGTTACTTTTATAAAAGATTATTTTTTAAAATTTATTAAGTCATGTAAATTTCTAAATTAAGAAAACACTACGTACAAATTTTCTAAATTTATTTCAAATAACCTAATTCATATCTTCTCTTGTGGACGAGCAATAATAACTTTGCCTTTATTCCAATCAACTAAAATAGATCGTTGTAATTTTGGTTGAAAATTTCAAATAATTCTTGTGCTGCACTAGGTCCTTTGGAGATTCAGCAGTATTATTAGTAGCAATGGCAGGTCTTTCACCACCATCATCGTTTCTTAGAACCATTATTGTCTTTTATACCTAAATAATCAACAATGGATTGAAGTTGGTCGTTTGTTAAAGGTTGCTTTTGATAATCCATCAAGTTTAAAAATATCAGGTTCTTTCTTAAATGCTTCATCCAATATTTGTAAAGCTTTATTTGGGTTATATATTTAATGTGACCGTTTAACCCAAAATTCTTTCTTCAAATGAATCCATTAAAATATCACAATCACCCTTTTTGTAAAATAACCCAAACCCACTCTCTGCAGGTATGACACAACAAGAAGTCAGAAGTGAGAAATGGGGGCTCTGATTTTTATTAAATTGCATTAGGATTCTTTCATTTTACAGAGAGACTATTAAATCTTCAGGCACACGTCACGGAAGAGGATCTCTGGCCTTAAGAAGAAAAGGCCACGAAATAAACGAGTAATTTATTCTCTGCGGCAATAATAATTTATTTAATATCATGATGTTTGTTTCATTTTAACACTCCCATCCCAATTTCCTCTCATGTGTTTGAAACAAATAAATCATTCTTTACATAGCAGGCAAGATAATAAAATAGCAAGATCGAAAAGAATCCATTGAAAGTCTTCAAGAAAAAAATCATTATTATGGATTATGGGTAGTGGTCATTGAACTTGTCCATATCATTCTAGCCTCTTGACTCAAAATACAAATAAACCCTCTAATTTTGATCAGAAGTAGGCCGCCAGAGATCCTACTATGAAGATAACATTTTGTAATTATGATTTATCTATAATGAAAAATCCACAGAGACATCAATATCAATACTATAATTAATCATATGGAAAACAGAAGATATGCTGATGTGGGTGTATCTTGTTCACTGCTAAAGCTACTTTTAAAAAAAAGGGTTTTCATGAAATTACTTTCTCCTTAACGAAATGACCAAAAGAGTGCTCCACAGAGAAGCCATGCTACTAAAAATTCACTACATTAAAATTTCGATCTTACAACTCTATTGTGCATCACTCATCAAAACAACTGGTTTTTTTTTTGTTGTCGTCCTACTTTTTAGAAAGATAATTCACAAAATACATCTATCAAGATATTTTACTATGCTATTCCTTGGGCTCATTAAAAAATTATAAAGATAATAATGATTACAATTATTGTTACAAACAAGCGAAGACGGTTACAATCATTTCTACTTTGAATAAATGATCATTTTAGTCGAAATCAACTTTTTTAACATATTTCTGAACATAATAAAATTTAATGGAAATACAAATGTATTTCTTCACATCAAATGATATAAAAATATATTGTTCACAATTAGACAAGAATGTTCTCTAAATGATACAATCAATGATATGACTGATGAAATAATAATAGAATATTAATGCATGCCAGTTCCAGTATTGTTCCACTTTTAGATTTTGGAAAATAAAAAGGCCATTGAGTTCAATAGAAAGAAAAATAAGATATTCATTAAATATCGATTATTGTTTTTTTTTAAACTACACATTTGGGACATATTTACTCGACAAAATCAGGGGACAAATGTTCCAGGGCCCGAAAACTATAGATAGATCTGTAGCACACACTGGTGATTGACCAGTCGGTAAAAATTTGATGGCCTAAAATCAATGTTATGGTTTTCGGGGTTCTATCTACTATTACTATGACATTTTTGACTTGTGTAAAATTTTTGGAATATCAGTTAACAAATATATTTAGTGTGAATCAATGGGATGTAATAAAAATATGAAAACTGGTTTTGAATAAATAATATATATAATAAATAAGAAAATACATAACTGATAATAAATTGATGAATAAAATGAATGTATGGTAAAATAAATAAATTATTAACTGAAGGTTCCCCAATGATGATGATAATAAAAAAAAACCATAAAATTTGAAATAAATAAAAATCTCCAAAGAAATTAATAATAATGATTCTCTAATTCATTGATAAGGATCTATAGATAAATCTTTTAAAAGTGCTAAGGCTTTATAGTGCTTTTGAATGGCTGCTAATTTTATATAATATAAACCCTTTTCCTTGTCTTGACTTACTCCATGTTTACCATAATAATACAACGATCCTAATAAATATCGTGCTGATGAATTCTTATTATCAGCTGCTAAAGTAAAATAACGTATTATTTGCTCTAATGTATCAGGATCTGGTCCATCTTTCGAGTCTTTTGAGTCATCAAGTAGTATATGTGCATATCGAAGTTGCGCATCTGGTACACCTTCTTCAGCTGCTTCTCGAAAATATTCTGTTGCTTTTTTCTTGTCTTTTTCCAGGCCTGCATAGCCTTCCAACAAATAATATCCATACCAAAATTTTGCTGTTTTATTATGAAGTTTCTCATGCTCAATAAAGATTTTTAAGGCTTCTTTCTTGTTTCCTTTTTTATGTTGAGCAATACCTACTAACATTGTAGGTATATTTTGAATTTTTGAGGGTTGTTTTGTTTCTGGAGTATTTCCTTTTATCATTGATGTTTTTGATAGAATTGATTTTATTGAAGATGATGAGGATGGTGGAGTTTTTGAATCTAAATTAAAACCTTCAATTTGATCCGCTTTACTGGGTGAAGGTGTTCTTTTAAGGGCTTTTTCAGCTTCATTACGATGCCTTAACCATGACAAATCTCCAATTTTAGTTTTTTCTTTTGTAATAAGATTATTCAAGTCGAGTACAATTTTTTGAAATGTTGGTCTACAAGCAGAATCTCCACTCCATGCTATATATAAATATTATATATATAATATTTTTATATAAAAATATTAATCTTAATATATATATGTGCGTGTGTCTTTCTTTTTAATTACCTTCTTTCATAATTCTCAAATATTCATCTTGTGATTCTTTAACTTCATGTCCTTGCGATTTAAAATCAATCGTTTCTCTACCATTATTTGTCACGTGTTTTTTAATTTTATCTATAGACCATTTTTCGTATGGTATTTTTTCAAATGCTAATTCCCACATAAGCATTCCAAAACTACAATATAAAATATATAAACATATTATTATCATTATCATTATCAATAGTTTGATCATTGCTAATTACCTAAAAATTTCACATTGTTTTGTATATCGATTTCTTTGATCCTTCAATTTTTCCGGTGCCATCCAATGTACAATATTTAACAATAATGTTTCATTCAATTTAGCGCTTAAAGCAACTTGATCATCTCTACGAGATAGTTTGAAATTTGTAATCTTAGGACTGTAATATTCATTCAGCTGTTTATTAAAAGTATTTCACTATTATTATTTTATATAATGAGAAAAAATAAACAAATTTTGTCTTTAAAAATCTTAAAATTACTAAAATGTTTTCGCATCTAATATCATGATGAAGATAGTCTACTGCATGTAAAAAAGTTATTCCTCGACAAATATCAAGAACGATTTCCAGTTTTTTTGTCCATTTTATTTCATTATCCAAATAAAACTCCTTCAAATTTCCATATTTTGCCCATTCCATCACCATCATTTTACTTCCATTTACTGTTGAAATTCCATAAAATTTTATGGTATAATTACATTCTTTACTAATTTTCTTTAGGAATGCAATATAACGTGGAAATCCCTTTTGCTTTTCCTCTAAAAATTTATCACTTTTACACGCAACATAAATTCCATAATGTTTATAATATTTCTTTAAAACTCTTCCTCTGGTATCATCATTTCCTTTTGGATCTTCTAATACAATGTCTTCAATCTTTGGCACACAAACATCTTCGTCATCAATATCATTCTGTTCTGTATGTTTAGCACGAGTACTTTCATCGATTTTATCTAATAAATCTTGCCACATTAAAGAAATCTGTTCTAAAACAATATTGATATTTTTTTTATTGTCAGTAACACCTGCTTCTATAACTTGTAAAAACTATCATTAAAAAATTAAAACAATTTATTAAAATATATTACACGCATATTTTATTTGTCATTAATTATATTTATTTATTTATTTACCTGTATCATTTCTTCAATATCATCATCTAAATCAGACAAATCTTTTTTACGTTGCTCTTCATCAGCAACACATTTAGTAAAATGTAAATCAATGATATTTTGATCATATTCTTTAATTAATTCATTAAATCTTTTTTTGACAGATCCAGAATCTGTAAATTTTCGTAATCCACTAAGTTTTGACACATCACGTACAAAATTTTTAATATCTTCTAAATTTTGAACTAAACGATAAAATGCTTTGAAGTATGCATCGTCACGAAAATTTTTTTCATTTTCTTCTCTTCTTCTTACTAGTATTTTAACACTAAATTCTACTGCTTGTATTCTGTCAATTAGATTTTTACATGTTTTCTTATTATATTCAATATTTTCAAGAATTTTTAATGTTTCTTCTGTAATAACAGCTACTAAATTTATCAAATTTATATAGGGCGAAAATGCTATGGTTTTATAAAAAAAATATTAATGTTGAATCTTTTTTTTTAGAATTTTATTTTATTTTATTTTTCTTGATAAATTAATTTCTAACTAACCTTCACTCACATCTCCAATCCCTTTTAATATATCAGGTGTCCTGCTATTTGTTCCTAATAAACCATTTAACCTCCCTTCATCAGTTGTTGCTCTAATCGCTGAACTAGCATTTTTAAACATTTTTTTTTTAACGTAAAGAACTGGGAGAGTTGTCATAACCATTAATCATAAGACCGAGATATAAATCAAAATCCCGATTTAGTAAAGATATTACGTAATAATTAGGACTTCAAAGACCGGAGTCTTCTCGATCTTCGGTTTTAATAAAAGACCAATTTCAAAATTTTTCACAAATCGAAGCTTATTGTTAAAGTACGTTGTCTATTATGTACATAATACTTCATTAGAGGACCACTTCCCCGACTAAATCTATTATCGTATCTCGTCGACTTTGTCGATTCTTATAGTCTAGTCAATTTTGTCGACTCTAGCTAGTACTACGTAAAATAATCTGTAAAACTAAAAATGTAACTAAATATTAATAAACATTTAATCTAAAAGATGTGCTGCTGCGAAATTCGCTTTCAAAATCGAAATAAATCAAACATTCATTATAAATGACAACTCGAAATCTTTATTTGCCAGATTCAAAAAGGTCTCCAAACGTGAAATGATGTAATTTTAATAAAGGCACCTACATTCATTCAAAATTCGAATTGTTTTTTCCTATTACTATTGAATTTCGATTTTAGTCGAGTTTTAGGATTGATTCAAAATGTGAGGCAAAAGAAATAAAATAAAATAACCTTTTAAATTAATTCCGTCCAAACACAATTCAAATTCATCTTCTGCCGATAATTCAACGAATGATTTAAAAATATGCGAGTTAAATAGTCACAGTTTTATGTTTAAAGTCATGGATACAAATAAAATGTTAATGCTAATATAAGTATTATTAACCGATTTTTCGGTTATCTGAAAAAAATCCGGTCTTTGGAGTCGAACCGAACCAATACAACTTACTTACTAGGATTACCCATGCTTATTAAAAAACATCTTACTATTACGTTAACTTTATGAGTTGGGAATAATTTATTTTTCGAGTTTTATTTCTGCGTTATCAAAAAATTTTGTTAGCCTTTGTGATATATTTATTAAAATAAAAAGGAAAAGGACTCAATATTCGGTTAATTGATTTAATTTGATTTTTGTAGTCTTGTGTGCTAAATCAGATGCTACTTTGAGTGATCTTTAAAACTCTTTAAATTCAATAAATTATAATAGTCCAATTGCTCACTTACTATGTACGATGTTATGAGAGATCAGATATTAATTATTAAAGTAGGTTCTTTGTTAACTGAAATTTTTAACATAATTAATTAAACGTATTGGTTAAATTTGACGAATTCACGAATAAAAAATAAGAGTAAAAATGAACGCAAAGATTCCAGTGGGATTTGCCAATGACAATCCGCAATGATGCGATCGTGATCAAATTAATATTAATAAACACCTTTGTTAATATTAAGATTAGATAGAACCTTGTCCGTGATTATATCCCACAAGTAGTGCCAAATGGTATCTGTGATTTGATTTTTACAATGTAAATAAAGATATGTACATATTATTTATTAGATAATTAGATAGATAGTATAAGCATGTAACAATAATACACTAGTTATA